TGTCAGGACGGTACAGATATCCCCCATCCCCCAAATGTCAGGACAGGACAGATATCCCCCAAATGTCAGGACGGTACAGATATCCCCCAAATGTCAGGACGGTACAGATATCCCCCAAATGTCAGGAAGGTACAGATATCCCCCAAATGTCAGGACGGTACAGATATCCCCCAAATGTCAGGACAGGACAGATATCCCCCAAAATGTCAGGACAGTACAGATATCCCCCAAATGTCAGGACGGTACAGATATCCCCCAAATGTCAGGACGGTACAGATATCCCCCCAAATGTCAGGACAGTACAGATATCCCCCAAATGTCAGGACGTACAGATATCCCCAAATGACCCCTTTTTGCAGAGTAGACAGTCCGACGTACTTCATAAGAGGAATGGCGAGTTTTTTGAAGTTGTATTCTACAGGAAGGGGGTAGAAATGCCCTGTAGGCAAGAAGGGGGTAGAAGTGCCCGGTGGGCAGGAAGGAAGGGGGTAGAAGTGCCCTGTAGGCAGGAAGGGGGTAGAAGTGCCCGGTGGTGCAGGAAGGGGGTAGAAGTGTCCCTGTAGGCAGGAAGGGGTAGAAGTGCCCGGTAGGCATCGGCAAGGGGGTAGAAGTGTCCGTAGGCAGGAAGGGGGTAGAATGCCCGGTGGGCAGGAAGGGGGTAGAAGTGTCCTGTAGGCAGGAAGGGGGTAAGAAGTGCCCGGTAGGCAGGAAGGGGGTAGAAGTGCCCTGTAGGCAGGAAGGGGGTAGAAGTGTCCGGTGGGCAGGAAGGGGGTAGAAGTGCCCTGTAGGCAGGAAGGGGGTAGAAGTGTCCGGTGGCAGGAAGGGGGTAGAAGTGCCCTGGGGAAGGCGGTAGGCAGGAAGGGGGTAGAAGCGCCCTGTAGGCAGGAAGGGGGGTAGAAGCGCCCGGTAGGCAGGAAGGGGTCAGAAGTGCCCTGTAGGCAGGAAGGGGGTAAAAGTGTCTGGTGGGCAGGAAGGGGGTAGAAGTGCCCGGTAGGCAGGAAGGGGGTAGAAGTGCCCGGTAGGCAGGAAGGGGGGTAGAAGCGCCCGGTAGGCAGGAAGGGGGTAGAAGTGTCCGGTAGGCAGGAAGGGGGTAGAAGTGTCTGGTAGGCAGGAAGGGGGTAGAAGTGCCCTGTAGGCAGGAAGGGGGTAGAAGTGCCTGGTAGGCAGGAAGGGGGTAGAAGTGCCCGGTAGGCAGGAAGGGGGTAGAAGTGCCCCGGTAGGGGGTAGAATGTCAGGCAAAGGGGGTAGAAGTGCCCGGGAGGCAGGATGGGGGTAGAAGTGCCCCGGTAGGGGGGTGAAGTGACCCTGTAGGAAGGGGGTAGAAGCACCCGGTAGGCAGGAAGGGGGGTAGAAGTGTCCTGTAGGCAGGAAGGGGGTAGAAGTGCCCTGTAGGCAGGAAGGGGGCAGGAAGGGGGTAGAAAGTGTCCTGTAGAAGAAGTGTCCTGTAGGCAGGAAGGGGGTAGAAGTGTCCTGTAGGCAGGAAGGGGGTAGAAGTGTCCTGTAGGCAGGAAGGGGGTAGAAGTGTGCCCTGTAGGTGCAGGAAGGGGGTAGAAGTGCCCGGTAGGCAGGAAGGGGTAGAAGTGCCCTGTAGGCAGGAAGGGGGTAGAAGTGCCCTGTAGGCAGGAAGGGGGGTAGAAGCGCCCGGTAGGCAGGAAGGGGGTAGAAGTGCCGGTAGGCAGGAAGGGGGTAGAAGTGCCCGGGGAGGCAGGATGGGGGGTAGAAGTGCCCGTAGGCAGGAAGGGGGTAGAAGTGCCCTGTAGGCAGGAAGGGGGTAGAAGTGTCCGGTAGGCAGGAAAAAGGGGGTAGTAGAAGTGCCCAGTAGCAGTAGGAAGGAAGGGGGTAGAAGTGTCCTGTAGGCAGGAAGGGGGTAGAAGTGTCCTGTAGGCCGGAAGGGGGTAGAAGTGCCCTGTAGGCAGGGGAAGGGGGCAGGAAGGGGGTAGATAGAAGTGTCCGGTAGGCAGGAAGGGGGTAGCAGTGCCCGGGAGGCAGGATGGGGTAGAAAGTGCCTGGTAGGCAGGAAGGGTAGGCCAGGAAGGGGGTAGAAGTGCCCCCGAAGGGGGTAGAGCAGGAAGGGGGTAGAAGTGCCCTTAGGCAGGAAGGGGGTAGAAGTGTCCGTAGGCAGGAAGGGGGTAGAAGTGTCCTGTAGGTGCCCTCTGGAAGGGGTAGAAAGGGTGTAGTGCCCGGTAGGCAGGAAGGGGGTAGAAGTGCCCGGTAGGCAGGAAGGGGTAGAAGTGCCCCGGTAGGCGGGAAGGGGTAGAAAGTGTCCTGGTCGGCAGAGAAGGGGGGTAGAATGCCCCGGTAGACAGGAAGGGGGTTAGAAGTGCCCGTAGGGCATGAAAGGGGGATAAGAAGTGCCCTGTAGGCAGGATGGAGGGAAGAAGTGCACCTGTAGAAGTGTGCCTTGTAGGCAGGAGGAGGGGGTAGAAGTGTCCGGTGGGCAGGAAGGGGGGTAGAAGTGCCCTGTAGGCAGGAAGGGGGGTAGAAGTGCCCTGTAGGCAGGAAGGGGTAGAAGTGTCCGGGTAGGCAAGTGGTTAAAAAAGAAGTGCCTTTTATTACTGCACTTAGTTGGTTTTTATTGACCCTTATAGAAAGGTAAAATTAATTTACAAAGAGACTGTCACCCCTAAAAGAGCAGCTTCCGGATGGTGATAACTGGAACTGTTAATAAGGAGGGGGAGTAAAAGGAGCCATTTGATGTGAGATAAACTAATGAGAAAATGGGGCTTTCAGCCATCATTTCACTGGAAAACTAAAGATTACAGATCCGGGTGTCTCTGTTATGTGGATGGAACATTTTTTAGGGAAAGATTATTATGAGGACAAAGTATTGGTGTTCTGGAACCTCATCCAAGTTAATGATTCGAGTTTTGAATGTTTTTATTGTCTAGTACTATTAGCAAAGCCGCAAATCATGGAACCTGTGAAGACAAGTCTATGTGACGGTGGGGACCTCCTCTGCTCTCTGAACCTCCAGAATTTTTACCCCAAACATATAGAGCTGAGCTGGAGATCGGGGGAAGAAAAACTGAAGTCTGAAGAGAAGTCTGAAGAGAATAACGATCATACATGTAATGTGAACAGTCATTGTACTGTCCCAGGAAATCTCTTATTAAATCCCAACTTCAGCCTCCATGTGACCTGGGAGCACAAATCCCTGGAGGGACAACAATCCCGAGTCCTGTCCTGGAGAGATCCGGGTAAGAGTCGTCTTCTGCATCAGAGCTTGATGTTCATTCTTGTCTAATGTGCATCCCATGAAAATGAATCATTTAACGTGATAACCCGAGATGTGCGCTTCTCCAGCCGCTGAATAATCACTAAGTATGCAGCTTCCTGATGTTTAATCACGGCTTCAACTACCATCTCTACCCCTCACCTCACCCCCTCAGTCTCCAATCACCTCACCCCCTCAGTCTCCAATCACCTCACCCCCTCAGTCTCCAATCGCCTTACCCCTTCAGTCTCCAATCGCCTCACCCCTTCAGTCTCCAATCGCCTCACCCCCTCAGTCTCCAATCGCCTCACCCCCTTCAGTCTCCAATCGCATCACCCCCTCAGTCTCCAATCGCATCACCCCTTCAGTCTCCAATCGCCTCACCCCCTCAGTCTCCAATCGCATCACCCCTTCAGTCTCCAATCGCCTCACCCCCTCAGTCTCCAATTGCCTCACCCCCTCAGTCTCCAATCGCCTCACCCCCTCAGTCTCCAATCGCCTCACCCCTTCAGTCTCCAATCGCATCACCCCCTTCAGTCTCCAATCGCATCACCCCTTCAGTCTCCAATCGCCTCACCCCCTCAGTCTCCAATCGCCTCACCCCTTCAGTCTCCAATCGCCTCACCCCCTCAGTCTCCAATTGCCTCACCCCCTCAGTCTCCAATCGCCTCACCCCTTCAGTCTCCAATCGCCTCACCCCTTCAGTCTCCAATCGCCTCACCCCTTCAGTCTCCAATCGCCTCACCCCTTCAGTCTCCAATCGCCTCACCCCCTCAGTCTCCAATCGCCTCACCCCTTCAGTCTCCAATCGCCTCACCCCTTCAGTCTCCAATCGCCTCACCCCCCTCAGTCTCCAATCGCCTCACTCCTTCAGTCTCCAATCGCCTCACTCCTTCAGTCTCCAATCGCCTCACCCCTTCAGTCTCCAATCGCCTCACCCCTTCAGTCTCCAATCGCATCACCCCTTCAGTCTCCAATCGCCTCACCCCTTCAGTCTCCAATCGCCTCACCCCCTCAGTCTCCAATCGCATCACCCCCTCAGTCTCCAATCGCATCACCCCTTCAGTCTCCAATCACCTCACCACTTCAGTCTCCAATCGCATCACCCCTTCAGTCTCCAATCGCCTCACCCCTCAGTCTCCAATCGCCTCACCCCTTCAGTCTCCAATCGCCTCACCCCCTCAGTCTCCAATCGCCTCACCCCTTCAGTCTCCAATCGCATCACTAGCCTACTAAGCGACATATCAGATTGGATGTCACTCCACTTCCTCAAACTGAACCTCTCCAAAATTGAGCTTCTAGTTTTCCCCCCCACCCCGTGCCCCCCCTGACTTCTCCATCATGACCAACAATGCCACCATCAGTCCCACCCCACAAGCCAAAGTCCTAGGTGTCACTCTAGACTCAAACCTGTCTTTCCAACCTCATGTCCAATCACTGACAAAATCATGCAGACTCCGCCTCTGCAACATCTCCAACCTCCGCAACACCACCAACCTCCACAACACCACCCACCCCCTCCGCAACATCTCCAACCTCCGCAACATCTCCCAACCTCCGCAACACCACCAACCTCCACAACATCTCCAACCTCCACAACATCTCCAACCTCCACAACATCTCCCCCCTCCGCAACATCTCCAACCTCCACAACACCACCAACCTCCGCAACATCTCCAACCTCCGCAACAACCAACCTCCACAACATCCCCAACCTCCACAACATCTCCCCCCTCCCCAACATCCATCTCCAACCTCCACAACATCTCCAACCTCCGCAACATCTCCAACCTCCGCAACATCTCCAACCGCTGCAACATTTCCAACCTCCGCAACATCTCCAAGATACGTCCGTTCCTAACCCCGGAAACCACTAAACAACTCATCCACTCCCTCATCATATCACGACTCAACTACTGCAACTCCCTCCTCACTGGCCTGCCTCACCGCTGGCTATCCCCGCTTCAGTCCATCCTGAATATACGGCTGCCAGACTCATTCACCTTTCCAACCGCTCCATCTCCACCACCCCCCTCTGCCAATCCCTCCACTGGCCTCCACTCAGTGTCCTCCACCCCCCTCTGCCAATCCCTCCACTGGCCTCCACTCAGTGTCCTCCACCCCCCTCTGCCAATCCCCTCCACTGGCCTCCATTCAGTGTCCTCCACCCCCCTCTGCCAATCCCTCCACTGACCTCCACCCCCCCTCTGCCAATCCCTCCACTGGCCTCCACTCAGTGTCCTCCACCCCCCTCTGCCAATCCCTCCACTGGCCTCCATTCAGTGTCCTCCACCCCCCTCTGCCAATCCCTCCACTGACCTCCACCCCCCCTCTGCCAATCCCTCCACTGGCCTCCACTCAGTGTCCTCCACCCCCCTCTGTCAATCTCTCCACTGGCTTCCGATTGCCCAACACATTAAATTCAAACTACTAACACTGACATACAAAGCCATTCATAACTCCACCCCAAACTACCTCACCGACCTGATACCCAAATACCATCCAAAATGTACTCTCCGCTCCTCACAAGACCTCCTTCTCTCTAGTTCCCTGGTCTTCTCCTCCCATGCCCACCTCCAGGACTTCTCCAGGGCTTCCTCCATCCTCTGGAACTCACTACCCCAAATCCATCAGATTATCACCTACTCTACTCTTCTTTAGGCGCACCCTGAAAACCCATCTCTTCAGGGAAGCCTACCCCACCCCCTGCTAACTTGCCGACCTCCTCCACTCTTCCTACCACTCCATCCCCCACAGCTATCTCCTCCTGTACCTCTATCCCCTCCCTCCTAGATTGTAAGCTCCCAGGATCAGGGCCCTCCCCCCCCCCGTGTATGGTATTGTTCCTGTATTGTCTCATGTTCTGTCCCCCCTATAATGTACAGCGCTGAGAAAACCTTCTGCCGCCATATAAATCCTGTATAATAATAATAATCCTTGCCTATGTTCCTGTTTAATCTGGTGCCATGACTGCTGCCCCAGGTTTTCTATTTCAGGGTGGCTCCTTTCTCTTGCAGCATCCTATGGAGATCCTTATAGGCAGGGACTAGACTTGTTGTGAGCATCAATAGAAACACACAGCCCTGTAGCTTAGGAAGGCAAGGCATTCCCCGGCTCTTCCCTCATCCTCCCTTCTCCAAGCTGACTGGAAACTGCACTGTCCACTGCTGTCTCTCCCTTGAAGACTAGAAGTTCAGGGAAGCAGCCCTGAAGGAGCAGGAGCCAACAATATTGAACGATATAAACTGAAAATGTTAGGATGAGAATCTTAAACAGTTTATTGGGGGATGTTTATGTTATTGAACTCAATGTGTTACGCTTACAAATGCTGGGGGTTGGGCGCTGTTTAATAAACTCTGTATAACAGTTATCACTTCTTGTAGCGGGGGGGGGGGGGGGCATCCTGCTCACCAATTTACCCATTTCTCATTATACTAACCCTAAGCTGAAATAACGCGTGTTCATGTCATGACAGGGAGGGGGAGGGGCACCGTCATACAGTCAGAGAATACAACATACGTGTTTATGTTTTGCCGATTGTGTGGTTTTACAAACTAGGCAATAGCATTGGTGCCGTGTATTGTACATGGACTGCTGGAGAATATTTGGGGTCTATTATTATTATTATACAGGATTTATGGCGCCGACAGTTTGCTCAGCACCTTACATTATGGAGGAAGACAATACAGATCAATACATGAGGGATAGGAGGGCCCTGATCCTTGGAGCTTACAATCTAGGAGGGAGGGGCTAGTGGTACAAGAGGTAATTAACTGTGGGGGATGGAGTGGTAGGAAGAGTAGAGGATTCCAGTATTAGCTGGGGGTGGGGTAGGCTTCCCTGAAGAGATTGGTTTTCAGAGTGCACCTAAAAGTGAGGAGGGTAGGCGATAGCCTGATAGATTGGGGCAGGGAGTTCCAGAGGATGGGGGAAGCCCTTGAGAAATTCTGGAGACGGGCGTGGGAGGAGGAGACAAGAGAGCTAGAGAGAAGGAGGTCCTGCGAGGAGCGGAGAGTATGGGATTGGCAGAGGGGGGTGGGGGATACTGAGTGGAGGTCAGTGGAGGGATTGGCAGAGAGGGGTGGAGGACACTGAGTGGAGGCCAGTGGAGGGATTGGCAGAGAGGGGTGGAGGACACTGAATGGAGGCCAGTGGAGGGATTGGCAGAGGGGGGTGGGGGATACTGAGTAGAGGCCAGTGGAGAGATTGGCAGAGGGGGGTGGAGGACACTGAATGGAGGCCAGTGGAGGGATTGGCAGAGAGGGGTGGAGGACACTGAATGGAGGCCAGTGGAGGGATTGGCAGAGGGGGGTGGGGGATACTGAGTAGAGGCCAGTGTAGGGATTGGCAGAGAGGGGTGGCAGATACAGAATGGTTAGTAAGGTGGATGAGTCTGGCAGCAGCAATCATGAGACTGAAGAGGGGATAGCCTGCAATGAGGTCGGCCAATGAGGAGGGAGTTACAATAGTCAAGGCGATATATAAGAAGGGAGTGAATGAGTTGCTTAGTGGTTTCTGGCGTTAGGAACGGGCCTATCTTGGAGATGTTGTGGAGGTTGGAGATGTTGTGGAGGTTGGAGATGTTTCGGAGGTTGGAGGTGTTGTGGGGTTGGAGATGTTGCGGAGGTCGGAGATGTTGCGGAGGTCGGAGATGTTGCGGAGGTCGGAGATGTTGCGGAGGTCGGAGGTGTTGCGGAGGTTGGAGATGTTGCGGAGGTCGGAGATGTTGGAGGTTGGAGATGTTGCGGAGGTTGGAGGTGTTGCGGAGGTTGGAGATGTTGCGGAGGTTGGAGATGTTGGAGGTTGGAGATGTTGCGGAGGTTGGAGGTGTTGCAGAGGTTGTAGATGTTGCGGAGGTTGGAGGTGTTGCGGAGGTTGGAGATGTTGCGAAGGTTGGAGATGTTGCGGAGGTTGGAGATGTTGCGGAGATTGTAGATGTTGTGGAGGTGGGAGATGTTGCGGAGGTTGGAGATGTTGCGGAGGTTGTAGATGTTGTGGAGGGTGGGAGATGTTGCGGAGGTTGGAGATGTTGCGGGGGTTGGAGATGTTGCGAAGGTTGGAGATGTTGCGGAGGTTGGAGATGTTGCGGAGGTTGGAGATGTTGCGGAGGTTGGAGATGTTGCGGAGGTCGGAGATGTTGGAGGTTGGAGATGTTGCGGAGGTTGGAGGTGTTGCGGAGGTTGGAGATGTTGCGGAGGTTGGAGATGTTGGAGGTTGGAGATGTTGCGGAGGTTGGAGGTGTTGCGGAGGTTGTAGATGTTGCGGAGGTTGGAGGTGTTGCGGAGGTTGGAGATGTTGCGGAGGTTGGAGATGTTGCGGGGGTTGGAGATGTTGCGGAGGTTGGAGGTGTTGCGGAGGTTGGAGGTGTTGCGAAGGTTGGAGATGTTGCGGAGGTTGGAGATGTTGCGGAGATTGGAGATGTTGCGGAGATTGGAGATGTTGCGGAGGTTGGAGATGTGGCGGAGGTGAAGTCTACACGAGTTTGTCAGCGATTGGACTTGAGCCTGAAAGGACAGATGGCAGTCTAGGATTACACCGAGTACTCTGGCATGAGGGGAGGTTCTGATGGTGGCGTTGTTGATCTTGATGGAGAAGTCGGGGGAGGGGGCACGGGCTGGAGGGAATACAAGAGCTCAGTTTTGGAAAGGTTGAGTTTGAGGAAGTGGAGTGACATCCAGTCTGGTCTATGAGGTTTCTAATCCACATGTTGTTCTATGAAGGTCTGTCCTGGTGCCCAGTGATTGAGGAGGTCCCCATACCCCATGTATTAATAGAGCGACAGAACACTCTGCAGTACAACATCTCCAGATACTTCCCCGATGCTCTGACGGTGAGCTGGTACAGGAAGGAGAAAGGATCCCAGGAATATGTTCCTCTATCACACAATGAGAAGTCCCGGATCCCAGACATCCAGTCCCAGAGACAGTCCGATCACACCTATTCCTGTACAGCCAGACTGCTCTTCACACCGTCCGTGACAGATGGAGAATCGGAGATCACGTGTAGAGTGTCCCATCCCAGCCTGGAGAGACCACTAGAGAGAAGATCAGGACCTCTACAGGTGCAGGGTGAGTGATCCACGGTCTGTGGCAATCAATATCCATACACACTCAGCACATGAAAATATAGACAGCGGTCTATGGATACGAAATGTGCTGTGAAGGTGTCTTCAGAGAGTACGGGGATGTAAAAATATAAACAATCATACTTACCTAGATGGCTGCAGCACCGATCCCAGCTCCAGCTGTCCCCCCACCACCTCTATGACCTGAGCGACCAAACACCACTGATCCCTCAGCTCTCGGTTTTTAGCCTGCAGAGAGCTGATGACTGTCAGTCACCAACTCTCTGCTCTGCCCCTCTAACGCTCACTGGAGTGCTGGGCTGTGGAGGAGATAGGAATGGCTGGTCTAGGCTTCTGGGTGGATCCCAAAAGTATAGCCAAAATGGAGAAGTATAGCCAAAGTAGCTGTTACTGTACTTCTCCTTTAAAGAAGAACTCTTGGATAGGCCAAGAAAAAACACCCATTATTACATTACACACAAAACATTAAACAGTTTAACATGTTATAAAACCTTCTCATTGAGGAGAAACATCTAATGGAATTCTCCTGACCTCACCTCTGTAATTCCAAAGATGACATCATCTTCTCTGCCAAGGAGGAGCTATAACAGGCGGGATGACGTACAGTTGTGTTCAGAATAATATCCGTGTGATGATAAAAGTGAGTAAAGCTGCAAATCCTTCTAATCCTTTTCTTTCCATCCACACAAATGCATTGGGAACACGACACATTCTATTCCAAATCACAACATGAAGAAAAATACATCAAATTTGTGTTGTTCCTCTAAAAAAATGGAAGAAAAGTGAATATTAGACGTTCAAAAAAATGGCCGTGTTTGTATTCTTCTTTACAAACTCCAACATTCACTATATAAACTGAGAAATGTTTGAAGATTTTGCTTTCCTTTGAATGACTTCATGAATATTTGGTTGTAGTCGCATTGTTTCTGAGAAACTGCTGTACATCTGTGTTGCATGGAGTCCCCCAACTTCTGGCCCCTGTGATCAGGTATTCCAGCCCAGGATGATTGGACCACATTCCACAGTTCTTCTCTATTTCTTGGTTTGGCCTCAGAAACGGCATTTTTGATGTCACCCCACAAGTTTTCTATTGGATGAAGATCCGGGGATTGGGCTGGCCACTCCATAACGTCCATCTTGTTGGTCTGGAACCAAGATGTTGCCCGTTTACTGGTGTGTGTTTGGGGTCGTTGTCTTGTTGGAACACCCATTTCAAGGGCATTTCCTCTTCAGCATAAGGCAGCATGACCTCTTCAAGTATTCTGATGGATTCAAACTGATCCATGATCCCTGGTATGCGATAAATAGGCCCAACAC